CGTTTTGATTAAGACATGCCTCTTTTGGGGCACATGTGCGTCTAGTGCGTGAAAAACTGATCATAAAAATTCGCATAATACTGAAGTACATCTGTCTATATTTCTGAGATGAGGTAGTATAAACTATTTATACTAGTAACATTCTTCCGACTATTGTCTTCATCTTTATTGTCATATTCACGACGTTTCGACCATTGTATGCTCTGGTAAAAAATGATTATTGAGATTACTAAGACATTAGTTTTATAATTCCAAAAAGCTCATGGCCTACTGGATAAAAACGTTGGTTGAAGTAATCCTATGACTTGAGCCAAAAAGTTGTGAGCTCAATACCTGGCCACAGCAGAGGTAAATAAAAACTTGGTGAGGTGAGATACTAAAGAGAATTCACTGAAACTGGGATATCTAGATAAAGCATGGCGCTTGGAACTAAAACAATCTACCTCAGCGTTTCGGTTCTAAATTCCAACGTATAACACATGAAGAAGTCCGAAACGTCGTGAAAAATGATAATAAAATGAGGGCAACGGTCCGGAGAATGTAAATAGTGTATATACACGAGTATATACGATATCCATTACCAAAAAAACAATGGAAAAATCGTTGGTATGCATTAGTGGTGATTTTCTAAGCGTTGCTTAGATGTGTCACAAGGCCGAAAGTCTGGGTTACCCAGAGAGGATCAAACTCACCCCTTGGGATGGATTGTCTTGATACTATGTCTGATCGGTTCGATAAGGTTAAATTGATGGTTGATGTAAAAAACGACTTTCTGCCTGTTGTTAACAGGGGCAACGGATGACGTGTTAATTTTAACGCCTTCAAAACTAAACTGCTCTCTATTAATCATTTGAGAGACAGCTTTTTGCCTTCCATCAGACATGCTAGCCTTCAGAACATTGACTCCTTGCGTCTTCTCGGGCTAACAGTCTCTGCTGACATGAAGTGGAAAAACTATATTGAATCCATGGCTAGGTCAGCTGCTAAGAAATTTGCTTCACTATGTCGTGCTAGACATTTTTTTCTTTCCTGAATCTATCTTACATATCTATAAGTCTACCATTCGTCCTTGCTTTGCATATTGTTGCCACATGTGGTCTGGTGCTTCAGCCATATATCTAGAGTCCCTTAATAAAATCCGAAGAATAATCAGTAATATTATAGATCCTGATCTGGCGTTTCGGCTTCAGTCGCCTTCCAACCGCCGTAAAGTTGCTGCCCTGTGCTTTTTCTATAAATACTTCTATGGTATTTCTTCGGATGAGCTCTTAGCCAGGGTACATAGAATTTATGAATTTAAGCACAATATGTTATATAGGAATAAAGTGTCGCTGCCAACACTTGAGTTTGAACATAGACCACCAGTGGGTAAACACAGGCGATCCCATTATTGAATTAAGTGGATCACGTGACCATAGAGAAAACGCATATATAGGAAGTCGCGTGAGGTCTTGATTGATCACCCTTCTAGTCTATCCTCTATTATTATTCGGATCGCTATTCCTAGTCTATCCTCTATACTATACGGACCGCTATTTTCTAATCTTTTCTCTACACTATTCTCTATTCGGATGAATTTGAGCGAGTATTATCGAGCAAGTACTATTAGTACGAGTGATATTCGAAGGCGTCTGACACCAGTATTGTTCAACGGTGTTACTATGATTGTATCTTCGATTACAAAGTCTCCACTACAACGAGCATTACGAAAGTTAAAACGAGTATTCTTTGACATTACAAAAGTGGCAACGTGTGTTCGTTGATCTCACAAAACAAGACTAAACTGGCGATGTGGTATCACCAATTTACAGTTGAGTTGGTCAGATGTAACCGTAAGTTCTATGCAAACAGTTTCTTTTGTCGCACTTCTCGCTTGTGGAACTCTCATCCGGCTCCATGCTTTTCAGCCGACTTTAATCTTCAAAAATTTAAATGCAATTCCAATAGCGTTCTACTGTTTATTCTTCTCTTGTTCTCGGTCCTTCATAATATATTTGTTTTCTAATTCTTCCACACCCAATAACCCCTTGGGTCCGAGTGGATTTTCTACCTTGCTTAATAGATTTAAAAAAAAAAAATGCGATGCTCAGCAATTTACTAAAATAAATTACTGTTATAACCTGCAATGTCGCTCTTCACATTTAAAGTCGCAGGCTTGATCAACGCTAGCGGGAAATCATCTCTGAATTCGTAAGCTGAAATTGCAAGACTTTCTTTGTGAATTATATTCAAAGAATCAGGCCTAACGCTCAAGTTGACCTGGTCCCAAAAATATCTTCTTGGATAACAATTTAACACCCATCAAGATTTTTCACTTAATCACGTTTCTCCAAAATGTCAGCCATCATGGCCTCTCCAAAATTTCCTTTTTAATATCCGTATATTTGTGAATTTCTATGACTGTTACTGAGAAAGCTTTTCTATGCGGTTTTAAATTCAGCATTGTCTTTCGTTTATAGCGGTTGCTCAACGAAGACTAGAGAGCTTAGTTAGCCCTATGATTTTACCCATAACCGATTGGAGGAGAGATGAACATATGTCTTTCTCAGTGACATTACTGCGAAGTGAAGAATTAAAACGTTAAAAGTGTTACTGTTATATATGCGATGGAGTTATACAAATCTTCACTTTCCAGCTATGATTAAGTTCAAAATCCTTTACGCTGTCTTGTGGATCTCCAACACTGCCACCTCTTTCCCCACAGATGCAGAGTCGCAAGCCAAACGCTACTCTATTGCGATTTCCATAGCAAATATTCAGGTGAGTTACATTCTTTAGTTACATCGGCTCAGATCTTTACAGGACAGACACGCTATGATATTTCCAAGAAACCGAATCATCTCATTTCTTTCGCAATACAAAAGTAATAGGAAAGTTTTACGGACAGCTTTTTCTCCAGTAAGAACTGTTACTTTATTGAACAAACTCCAACATGGATGCTTCCCGGAAGACTACAAACTTAACCTCCTCAAGTTAAGGGTCAATCGCTTTCTAGCCTTCTTATTCACACAATCTTCACTTCCTAGCCACTACTCTTTCATTCATACCACACAGCTCTTTCATCATGGCTACTTTAAACTCGTGGGCAGCATTTTTCGACCAATGGATCGAACGAGATATGGTTCATCATAACTGCAGTAATAAAATTCAAAGTCATCTTCCGTTGAAAATAATGTGGCCATTTTCACTACAGAAGATCATAGGCATAAACATCTGCCTTAGAAATCGGGGAAATAGTTGATATATTTTACTTATAGAAAATAGTTTTCACAATTTAAAAAATTGAAGATTTCCTATGTATATCATTACTGATAAGCTAATTAACATATGCTATTGCATGTAATTTGTCTCTAATTTGTTCATTTAAAAATACAAAAAAAAATATCTTTTGAACAGAATAAAAAATATATCTATTCTCCAGAGAAAAAAAATTAATATTGAAAGTTTCTCGTTTCTAAAGCAAAATATCTTTACACGTATAATCTTCCTTAATGAAAATCGCCAATGGATTAAAATACTGAAAACGTTACTTTCAACAAAAGGCTAAAAAAAATCAAGAAATATCGGACTTATTATTATTATATTATTATTACTAAACAAACGAATTGTAACTACGACGGTATAAGCATTAATAAGGGTGATTACTCCGGCATCTAATAGTTATTTCCCTTTGACACCAGCTTCTCCCAGCCTCTTTGCGTGAGAAACAATGTGATTGAACAAGTGAGAATGAAACAAAACGCAAAGTTTAAATAAATATTATTTTCATCATTAAATTAGGTGTGACATTCAAAAGGCCAAACCGGTCGCATGTGGCCCATGGCTGCCTACCTCTCTACCTTAAGTTGTTATCGAGCCTTTTACTGGACGAAGTTTTGTTTATAAAAGAAAATCCATTACAGACTATACAGGAATTTGAAATCGTCCCGCGCACCACTTTCCGCTCCTATAACCACACTGTCACATACATTCATTGTGCAGGAACAGGTAAGTAAATGATACAGTTTGGCACAATAGTTTGAATCCATATTTTTTTTTTATAGGTTTTCCCTGATGAAGCTTTAATAAAAGCGAAACATGTTAGATTTATAAACTGTTAGTTATAATCATTTTTGGAATGACTGCAAAAATATCCCTCTGCCCAAATTTATCGAAAAAAAAGACACAAATGCATGCTGGGATGTCTTCTTAGGCCACTTCTCGGTCTCATCCGATTGAATTCTGTCCTTTCTTGTCTTGAATTCAGAACGCTGAACTTACCTGTACCCCTTTTGTGTGTTAACACCATTCTTAGTTTGTGAACATTTTTTGCCTTATCTTGCTTTGCCTACTTTTGTCTCACATATATTTTTTGCTTCGTATTATTTCTTCCCTGTTTTTTTCTTTCTTTTGTTATTGTTTTATTGCAAACTTTGTTAATTCTGTTTGTTGGGCATTTCTACCAATTACATTTAATCATGGCAATTACTATTTCCTATCCGTTCTTCATTCTATCATTCTGTGAGATTTCGATCGATACTCTGTATTTGATACCAATTCAGTCATTTGATATAAAATCGAATTTACGCTCATAAGACAAATGAAGCAATAGACATTTTTAAATTTTTAATAAAAGATAGAAATATAAATTTTGACAGAGCGAGATATCAGTTTGTGCTCACAATTGGTTTACATGCGTTAGATACCGATAGCTTTACATCTGTAGAAAAAGCGCAGCTCGACACGCATGCGCATCTTCCATAAATCATTCGTCATATCCGGTCGCAGTCGGTCATCACTACATTCTCCTTTTAGCATCTTTTGGATTCATCTCTGGCCGGACGTTGATATGTGGTTAGTGACTACCTTCACTTAGCTCTGTACTGTCACTGTCCTCCAACTCCCCCGCTCACTTTAATGGATCTGCAGTAGTGTGCAGCAGCCTGGATGAATAATGTTCTTTGATAACGACACGCAAGAAATATCGACACAAAAATCAAACGTATCTTGCACACAGCACGATGCCTTCCGTGTTGCACGTCTCTCTACCAGTTTGTCGCTCTGCCGTCTGTTTACTTCTTGCTTTTGATTTCATTTTTCTTCTTGTTTTTTTTTCTTTCTTCTTCTAATAAATTATTTTCTTCTCCCCGTTTAACACTGTTCCATTTCTCTCGTTCTTCACTAAAGTTCCCTTCTTCTTCTTCTTCTTCTTCTTCTTCTTCTTCTTCTCCTTCTCCTTCTCCTTCTTCTTCTTCTTCTTCTTCTTCTTCTCACCTAACTTTCTATTTCCTTCTCTTTTCCTTTCTACTTTTTCTTTTTCTTCTTGCCATTTAAGCTTCTATTTCTTTCTTTCCTCTTCTTCCTTTTTCTTCTACTTGCAAATTAACTTTCTGTTGCTTTCTTTTTTTTTCTTTTCTTGTTCCTTCTTCTTCTTTTTCCTTCTTCTTCGTTTCTTTTTCTTGTCATTTAACTTCTTATTTCCTTCTCTTTTCTTTTCTATTTTTTTCTTTTTCTTCTTGTCATTTAACTCTCCATTTATTTCCCTTTTCATTTCTCCTTTATTTATTTCTTTAACTTTCTATTTCTTTCTCTCCACTCCCTTCTTGATTTTCAAATTCTCTTCCGCCTCTTTTAATATCAGTTCTTTTTTTATCTCCCTCTTCCAACTTAGACACTTTTTTTCTTCGAATGATTCAATTATATCTTTTCTTTTACTTCTCACCCGTCTTTTTTTACACCTCTTCCTCGTCCCCGTCCTCCACCTCAACCTCCCCGCCTCTTATTGACTTCTTTTATGTTTTTCTTTTCTCGTTTCTCTTTCACCCAACGTATTGGATCTCTTTTTCATCTTCTCTCTTCTCTCTTCTTTTTCCATCTCTCCTCCCTCGCCTTTCTTTAACGCTTTCTCCTCTGCCTTCTTTTTCCCTCTCTCCTCCCTCGCCTTTCTTTAACGCTTTCTCCTCTGCCTTCTTCTATTTTTCTATAATTTTCGTCTCCACATTTTTTCTTCTCCTCTTATCATTTCTCCTTCTCCTCTCTTCCTCTTCTGTCCTTCTTACCAACTTTATTCAACTTTTCTTTCAATCCCATCATGCCTTCGCCCGTTACCCTTTCCGGCTTCTCTTCTTCAAATTATTTCTTTATAATTTTCATTTCCTCTTCATTCTCCGTTTATAATAAGCTGTATATTTATTTTCATCTATTAGCCTGAATATTTGATAAAACTTATTAAAGAAAAAAAGTGCGAACACTGGCAGATTTCTCGAATATTCAGGCTTGTAGACGAAAATACATATACTGTTTAAAATAAACGGATGCTTTACTTAAATATGGTTATCCACTAAAAATGATATATATATATATATATATATATATATATATATATATATATATATATATATATATATATATATATATATATATATATATATATATATATATATATATATATGGTGGTTTTATCACTTTTAAACGCTATATTTAGTGGATACCGGCCCTGAATGTTCGAGAAATATTATTAAAAATAAATTTGTCCTCTCCGGCCAAATTCGCACCTGCGGTCCGCTGGGGATATGGACTTATCGTTAGACCCGTTACGCTCTAACCGACTGAGCTACGAAGGTTCGAATCCTGTCGGAGAACACAGATTTTTCTCCTTTTTTCTTCTGTTCACTTCTTGAACATTTAGGCCGGTAGACGAAAATATATAAATAAACTGTTTAATAAACAAACGGAGCGTCGACTAAAATAAGAGTATCCATTAAAAATAACGTTTAAAGTGATAACAATCAGTTAGATTAATAAAAATCCATTCTCTCGCTCTCTCTCTCTCTCACACTCTTTATCAGTCGTTTTTCCTCCATTTTACTTGTTTATATATATATATATATATATATATATATATATATATATATATATATATATATTCACCCCAAGCAAGAAAATAAAACAACTGAGACACAGGAGGCTACTGTGTTTGAATGAATAAGAAAAGGAAAACGTTATTAAGGAACGAGAACAATAAAAGAAAAGGAAGCAAGAAAACAGTAGATAACGATTGATATTCCATTTAAATTTTTGAAGATCAAAGTTGGCTTGGAAGCAAGAAGGCTGAAGAGAGATCCACAAGCGAGAAGTGCGAGTGATGAAACTCTCGATTTTCTCATTCACTCGCTATCTTTCTTTCTCAATCTCTATCACTCACTCCTTCTCATTCACTCATTCTCTCTCTTTCTTAGAATGTTACAGAAATTAATTCCGCTTCGCGTATCATACATTACTTTTTTAAATCATTTCACCCAAGTAAGGCAGTAAAGCCACTAAGATAGTAGATAAGTATTGGCATTGCATATAGGTTTTTAAAGATCGCAGTTGGCTGGAAAGCATGGAACTGGAAGAGAGTTCCACAAGCGTGAAGTGTGAGAGAAGAAAGCGTTAGCATAGAACTTACGGTTGCATCTGGCCAACTCAATTGTAAACTGATGAGACCTTGTTAATAATCTAATACTGCGCGTAAATTCATAAATTCTATGTACTATAGCGGAGAGTTCATCCGAAAGATTTACATGAAAGTATTTATAGAAAAGGCACAGGGAAGCTACATTATGGCGGTGGGGAAAATGACTGAAGCCGAGATGCCAGAGCAGGACCAGCAATATTGCTGATCCTTTTTTGGATTTTATCAAGAATTTCTAAATATCTTCTTTTTCGTGAAACTTAATGTCAATTCTTCTTTTCAAACTCTATTATCATTGTTTGCTATTAATTCAATTATCTAACAGTCAACATATTCCTGTCTTGTCACTAACTCTTGCATTACTTACTGACAGCTGACAATCCCTTTGTTATTTTTCAATGCATTTCCATAGGGAAATTACAAGAAACGCATTGATGTTATAGAGATAATAGTCTTGTTCTATCGGTTTGCTTTAAATTTCTAACTGCTCACAATTACGTTATTTAATTAACTTCAGTAAATTTAATTTCTACAATGTCAAGACATCTTATAAAAAATTTAGGATTGTACATCATCTTTCCGTTAGGATATATTTTCAAATTCACATTTTATTCCGAGCACAACCATCCTTGTACCAAAAAAAAAAAAGTATTGGTTAAGATTTAGTATGATCTATTCATAGATATACCGGTGTCACTATATTATTGGTACGATTGTATTTTCTTTTCACATGTTTCACTTTCTCGGTCCGGTGTGAACAATATTTTAATTTCTTCTGTCGAGTTCAGGCGAATGAGAAGCGATATGCGGTTATGCTTTTTGTTTTTGTTTTCTTTCTTGATCCGAATTTTACATTTGCCATCTATTGTAGCTGTTGTTTTCATCTTTCCCCTTTTTATGTTTTTTTATCACATTAATTAACTGTTAAGGGGTCCACCCCTTTTTTATACAAGTGGACTCGCCCAGTGTGTACTTGTACTGCTGCCGGTGAATACCTGAAAGTGATACAGTGAGAAAGTGAGAGTGTGAGGTAACCGCTTTGTAGGAGCCACAGTTGCGAGCACGTAGACTCAGTAGGAAGTCATACTTCAATACTGAATTTCCCAGACTGTATATATATTATTATTGCTACTAACCGCATTTCTGGATCTATTAGCCGTATTACCAATTGTATTATTACGTCAATACATTTATTTGTTATATTTCATTCCTGCGTTTGTCATTCATTGGAGACCGGATTTCATCCCGGAATCCACAACATTAGCTTTTCTTCTTCTTCTTCTTCTTCTTCTTCTTCTTCTTCTTCTTCTTCTTCTATACGAACCATTGACAACAGCTCGTTCGGTATATTATGTTTTCATTTGTCCCTCTTGTCTTAAATATGTCCTGTGAGTGTTAAATTTTCTAAACCCCCTTTCCTCAGCAGTTTCTTTCTGATTCTAAGCATAAGTGTATTTTCTGTTTCAATTTTCCCTAAATCTTCGTCGTTGCTCTACGGTATTCTCAGCATTCTTCAGAAGAGCCAGATTTCTAGTGTTTCGGGTTTCTTCCTCATCTTTGAGGTGATTGTCCAATTTTCACTGACATATAAAAGGACCAATATTACATAACAGTTCAGTGCTTTTTTCTTTGTTTCTAACGAAATTTTCCTGTTTCTTAATATTTTGCTTAGCTTTTGAAAGGCATCTTTCGCTATTCCGATTTCCGACTTCGCTGTCGCATTTTCTGTCTTCTGTTAAAAAAAAAAAACTTCCGAGATATTTAAATTTTTGTACTTGCTTGATTTTAGCGTCTCCAATTTGTAATTCGGATGTTGGGCTGCCCTTTTTTTCATACAACCATTTTGTCTTTTTGCAATTGATGTTTAGTTATTTCTTCTCGTTTCGTTTAGAAGTTTCTGTGGTTTCCTTTCAGTGTCTTCTGTCAACACCGTGTCATCTGCATATAAGATTACGGCCGCTAATAATGATTCCTGGTAGTAGATCGACGTGCTCCCCCTCCTAGGAGGGGGTGTACGCGATTTATTTATCATCTCTCAGTTGCATCTCTGTCCTTGGACAGAGTGCGCTCAGGGGCTTCTCTGTCAAAGGACAGAGGGGCAACTGAGGAAAATTATACTGAAGAGGTGCCCAGCCCTGGGGAACAGCTGCCCGAGGCCGCGCCCTCCCATTGCACAAGAGGGAAGGATCGGTGCTCGCACCGAGGCCAGCGCAACCGACGGTTGCGGGGCTGAGGAGAATTTTTGTCCCTGCCCGAGTGTACGCGCTCGGGTCCCCGCCTTGTGTCACATCTCATTCTCGTGGGGGAATGAGTAAATACCAGGACTTTCAATTCTCGCAGAATCATCTCACTGTAAAGATTCAATAAATCTGGTGACAAGATACATTAAGCACTTTTCGATATTTGCATTTTTAAAACCTTTAATTTCTAGTGTAAAATTATTGCCAATGCATTTCTATAGTAAGTTCATCATCTGTACTGTACAAAAATATTATAATAACCTTATTCTGCTGGTAACAATCGCATTCTTGAAAATTAACATTCGAAATTCAGTCTTTTATTTGGGCGCAAACACCAAACTCTGATGCCAGTAGGGAATAATAATAAATATCTTAGCAACCAGGTCGAACCTTCTCCGGCTTCTGTCTCCTACTTCTTATCATCATGAATGGAAGCGACAAGATTTTTTTAATAGATGTATTTAATTATTTTACTATTAAATATCATCCGACAACGACTTCTTTCACCTCCAGCACTATCATAAGAGTTATTCTTCCTTTTCTTTGAATTTGAAGAGTTCTTTCTTTTTTTTTCTTCCTTTCTTTCTTTTTTTTTTTTTTTTTTTTTGCTTGCTTGCTTTCTTGCTTTCTTTCTTTTCAAACCACCTCAGACAATTTTGTTACTCCTGTTCTTTCCCTCCTGCTTACATCTCTCTCTTCTTGCGTGAAAATTCAATAATTGTGACTTATATGAGAAGAAATTACTTGCAGATAATATCACAAAAGAGAGTAAAAGAAAAAGAAAAAGAAATGAAAAATTAAAAGAAAGGAACCAAAAAAGAAAGAAAGAAAAAGTATAAATGAGCGTAAAAGAAGGAATAAGAAGAAACAAAGAAAAAAGAAAGAAGACAGGTAGAGAGAAAAATAGAAAAAAGAAAGTAAAAAGAAAAACTAAGAAATAAAGTTAAAAAATAAAAGAAAGTAATTAAAGAAATAAAGAAAGAAAATAAAAGAAGGAAAATAAAAGAAAATGAAAGGAAGTAAAAGAAAATGGAAAAAGAAAGAAAGAAAGAAAAAAAGAAAAAAGTAAAAATAAGCGTAAAAGAAGGAAAGAGAAGATAGAAAGAAAAATACAAAAAAGAAAGTAAAAAGAAAAACTAACAAAGTTAAAAGAAAATAAAAGAAAGTAAAAAGATAAAGAAAGAAAATAAAACAAAATAAAAGAAAACAAATTGAAGTAAAAGAAAATGAAAAAAGAAAGAAAGAAAGAAAGAAAGGAATAAATGCAGAATGTTCGATTTTGTTAAAAGAATCTAAATTAGACATCAAAATACGAAGAGATTTCGACCTGATGAGAGAAGCCTTTCAAAGACTCAAGATTAACAAACCAGATTGGAATCGGGGCACTGTGGATTTCTTAGTGTGTCCATTCATTTATATGTGTACAGGGACAAATATATATATATATTCACATAAAAGATGTGGACGTGTACA